GTGCTCCTTCAGGTCCCCAGAGTAGTTCCTGCCTGTGATGTGGCAGGCCCTGCTGAGCTGAAGCTGCTCCAACCCTCACCAGTTAACCTGCACTGGTAAGCAGCAACTTTAAGGGTAAAGCTAACCATTTAATCGATGAACCTTTCACATCCCTAGTATAAGGTAGAACTCCTCTCCACCTATGCCCATCTGTTTAGCAAAACCTCATTCAATGCAGCCTACAATGAAAATCGCTGTAACTGATTTCCATGGGAGTTGCATTAGGTTCTGAGTGGAAATCACTTAGAAGCTTGTCCAAGGTCTTGCTGTGTGTGTAGAACAGATGGACCAAATCAGCAGAGACATTCAACTTTCCAAAGTCCATTTTATTCTTCATTTTATAAAATGTGTAAGTTCAGAAATGTATTACAGGTTATTGACAATACTGATTAGTGCATTGTTAAGTGTGTTAACTGCAAAGCCCTTTATGTCGAAGTGACTGAATTTAGTCACTTCTTTAATTGGATGGAATTTTTTATACAAACATTTATATACATTGTCCATATTATTGCTCCTTTCTAAATTCTTGAGATATAGAAGCAGTAAAAGTGTGTTTACTCTCCCAGTTAGTTATAAACATTCTCAAATCAACAGTGTGCGTTCATCAGCCACAAAGTTACTGGGTGTATTGCAAAAGTTGTGATCACTTAAACTGACATCAGCACGCAAGGAAATTTTCTGTAACAGAAAAAAAAAGAGAAAGGAAAGAAAACATAATTTAGCAGAGCTCCACTATTTACTCTGTACTTTCCTCAGAGTAGCTTCTGCAGCCAACTCTGAGCACCCTGAAGTGCACATCACTCAAACTAATTGCCTGCTAAGAAAGCAAAATATTAGTAACTCAAATAGCCCTGAAATTCCCATAAGGAGATAGTAAGGCATTGTGCAAACTTTTATTGTGACTATTCATGGGCAAAAGCCTTCACTGCCCTGGAAGGAGATAACTGGCTGATCTACAGGTGACAACAAGTGCAGAGCGTATGGCAGATATAGGATGGTGTAATGGGGTCCACCCTTCGGGCGAGTGCCCCTTGGTGGCTGAGGGGAATCTTACAGTCTCTACTCGCCTGTCTGCAGGCAAAACAGCGTCCAGTAAGTAGCCGTAGATCAGGCCTCTATTTCACACACATACACACACACACACACACACACACACCCCGGTGCTGTTTGTAGGGGGATCCAGGCCTGCCCACTCCTCTGGGTCCTGGCCCAGGGACCCTACAAGTAGCAGTTACCTGCTGAGTTTAAAGTAATTAGTTACTGTCATGTCCCTGGGCCACTTTCCCTGGATGCTTTTCCATGCAGCCCTTCTCTTGTATCCTTTGGTATATATGGTTGTGACTACTTTCTTCCACTATTTGATCTGAGGAAGTGGGTCTGGCCCACGAAAGCTCATCATCTAATAAACCATCTTGTTAGTCTTTAAAGTGCTACATTGTCCTGCATTTTGCCCTTCTCTAGGGCCTTGTTGCATTCCCCTTGTCCGGGATTCTGCAGGCTTGCCTTTGGCTTCTTGGCTAGCCTTCAGCCATAGGACCTGGCTCCCACCATATATGATGGCCAGCTCCCACTCGGAGCTGTCCATAGTGCTGGTATTCCCCAGTCAGCCCTGGATCTGCCTGGGTCGAGCTCCAGGAAGGAACTTGACAGGCATTGGCCTACCAGCTCCTGCGGCACCCTGATTGGCTGCAGAGGAGGCTGCCACTCTGTTTTGCTCAGAGGACCTCTCTACTCCTCCTGTTGCTGGCCAGGGTGCTGAAAGGCCTCCAGCATGGATGTCAGGCTTTGTCCACCTCATCACAGATGGCAAAACAGTTTTCATTCTAATCCTGTTTTCAGTTACCAAGAATTTTCAGAAACATTCCCCTCTTATACCGAAAAGAAAGGTATGTTGTTATAACTAGGCTGGTTAGACTTTTACCAGATCTGATATTTGATAAAGGACATTATGTTTATTTTGAGAGTCACTGGGCAAAAACTTTACTTTACCTGAAAATCACGGATGTAGGTAAGGAAAAAGCTGAGGAAGGAAAAGGCCAGAGACCATTCTGAAATTGTGCTGATGATGTGAACTATGTAGCCCTGTATTAATGAGAAAATACATCCATGTAATGAGGCTTCTTCAGTGATAGAAGGCTTACATTTTAGCATTTCAAAGAATGCTTACTTAGATCAGTTAGGTCTTTTCCTTTACTTTTATGCAACTTTTTCATAACCGAATAGAGCAAACTGAATTTACCTGATGTCTGGGAGAGAAAGGGCAAAGAAAGATACACGTGCAGATGGTTGCCAATTCCTAACTCACTCTTTTTTGGAACTCATGCACCTTGTACACATTGCATCTAACGTATATTTGGGGCTACAGTATTGCTTCACTACATAACAGCCTCTAAAGATCAACTAACAAAGTATAGCTGCATCACATATGTACCTTTAATTTGCCCACTTCCTCTCTTTATGCTTTTGTCTCCTGCTCTCTTCCTTATATTGCTCATACCCACTTCAGTAACCCACCAACCAGCACAGGGTTTCATCTTCAATGCAAAATGTTACCATCTTAAAATGTGTCTGAACAGTCTTGTTGGCTGACAGTTCCGATCATAACTTTGTGGTTATGCTAGTCATGGTTAAAACTTTACCAATGATTATTTTAAGAAGTTATTAAGTACAGGTTCTGTAAAGCTCTTTTCACACAGTCCTCAAAAATCCTTTGTTCATTAACACATCTCAAGGTATCTAGTCTAATTTAGGGCTTGATTCTGCAACCTTTACTTACAATCAGGCAAGCAATTTCATGTTTCCTCAAACAGTAAAAGTACAGTTGTTTCATTTACTGAAAATGTTTTATGTTAATTCTCAGTTGTTCATACACTTATCTATATTGGCTACTGAAGGTCATCTAAAGCACGTAAGAAATGTACACTTTCATTTGAAGGAAAACTGTAGATACAACCAGTGAGAAATCACGCACAGAAAAGCAAACACAGGAGATGTGGAAACAAAGTGTTGTTAAATGATCAATCTTTAATGATGAAGATTAAATGATCAAGCTTTACTTTGTCTCCTTAAACCTAAGAATTAACATGGTCTCTGATTAAAACTTAAAGAGTTTGTGAGAGACACACACACAAGCAAGTAGTAGCAGCTCTTATCCTCTCTGCCCCTCCTTCCCAATTCCATTCTCCAATAACAAGCAAATTGCATCCCCTCACCACTGTGATCCACTCAATCGAACAGCTTGGGCATTCCCATCCCTGGACATTCCCATCAGTTAGAAAGTCTGCATTAGTCTTCATACATGGAACACTTTCTCCAAGGCTAAATGCACACAATTTCCTTCATGGAATTGTTTTACATTTTCTTCTCTGCTCTCAAAAATAAGACTTACACTCTCATGTGGGTCCCAGTGCAGCTTCTGTACTAGATTAGTTCCATACAGGCCACTGTATAAAATAACTGAGGAAATAAACACTAAAGAAACAAGTTAAGGAAGATGTGAAATGATAAATGCCAAGTTTGGAAAAAAATATTCACATTAAAATCTAGACCAAGTTTCACCCTGAGGCCAAGTATCTGCGTAAATGGGATGGGGGTCTGGGCTCTGAAATGCCAAGATAAGTATTTGCTATCGTGAACAGTAGCCTGGAGATGAAACAGAAAGTTACTTGTTGCAACAAAAGAGTAATTTCTTACTCACAACCAGGAATCTACAAATTCATGGTTCATTCTGGCCAATTTCACACCCAGAGAGTTTGAAGATTAGTTAATTTCATGTTTTCACATGTTTACATCTGAAATGTCATGGTGTTGTAACCATGGTGATACCACCCCAAAACAGGGTCCTGGAGTGGTTGCAAAGCTGCTGTAGGGGAGCCATGGGATAGCCTTCCTCCCTTCTGTGCTGCCTTCATTGCCCAGCTTCACTCTTGGGACTCCTAGATCAGACTCGTAGAGGGGAATCTGATCTCCCCTGTCTTGCTGGGAATGTCTTAGCCAGGAGCTCCTAGCTGCTAATCCAGGTCAGTGGTGGATTAATGCATGGTCTTATGCCCAGGGGCCTACTCAGTTTGGGGACTCCTTGGAAAAATGAGTACCCCAAGTCTGACTTCCAACTGAGCTGGGGCAAGACAGACTTTGTTCTTCCCTTGCACAGCTGTTCCTGAACAGAGATCAGACGCACATCCAGGTATTTCCCCTGGCTGCAAGAAGCTCCGGCTCTGCGCTGCCTCTGTAGGTGGGTCTGATCTCCTCACCACTACTTGAGATTCTTAGTTAATGAATTCCTGCAATCCTTAAAAATAACTAATGGGGTGGGAACGGTGCATCAGTGGAAGTTGTGGTGGTGGAATCACATGGCTGATGCTTGGATGACAGCGTGGCAGAAGTAGGAAGAGCTAAATTCATGGATTCTAAGATCAGAAAAACCCACTGTGATCAAGTCTGACTTCCTGTGTAACATAGACTATAGGAATTTATTGAACTACAGGAGGCCCCTGACTTGCGACGCGATCCGTTCCTGGGGAAGTGTCGCAAGTTGGAGGCACTGTAACGCGAGCCCTCATTTACGATAGGCACTGTGCGCCATTGTAAATGCGGGCCGAGGACGTAAGTGGGGGGTTTCCGGCCCCTTCCACACTTTCAAAAATGGATGTAAGTGTGGGGACGATCAGAACTTGAGCAGTCGCATGTTGGGGGCCTCTTGTAATTCCTGTCATGACCAAGAGGCTGCCAGGCAACTCTCCAATACCACTTTCTACAGGCCACTATCCTCTGATCCCACTAAGAAGTACCAAAATAAACTACATCATCTACTCAAGAAATTCCCTGAAGAAGCACAGGAACAAATCTGTACAGACACACCCCTGGAGCCCCGCCCAGGGGCGTTCTATCTGCTGGACACCCTATCATCTTAGGCATTGGCACTTTTACAGCAGTAGTGTCGGGCTATGTGGACTCTCTCCTCAGGCCTTACACTACCCCCACTCCTAGCTATCTGAGACACACTGCTGACTGCCTGAGGGAACTACAATCCATTGGCAATTGTCCAGAAAACACCATCCTGGCCACTATGGATGTAGATGCTCTCTTACACCAACATTCCACACCAAGCCATCAGGAACTGTATCCCCAATGATGTCACAGCACAGCTGGTTTCTGAGCTTTGTTACTTTGTCTACACCCACAACCATTTCAGATTTGGGGATGGTTTATATCATCAAGTCAGTGGCCCTGCCATGGGCACCTGCATGGCCCCATAGCATGCCAACATTTTTATAGCTGACTTAGAACATCACTTCCTCAGCTGATGTCCCAAAGTGCTCCTCCTCTGCCTAGGCTATGCTGATGGCATCTTTATCATATGGACCCCCGGGAAGAAAGCACTTGAAGAATTCCACAGGGATTTCAACAATTCCACCCATCAACCTCAGCCTGGACCAGTCCACACAAGAGATCCACTTCCTGGACACTCCAGTGCAAATAAGTGAGGGTCACATAAACACCACCCAATACTACTGCCAAACCCTAAGATATTTGCTCCAATCCCTCAGAGACAAACAGGAGTTCTGTTAAGCAGTCTTAAAACTACAATACCCCTCTGGGGAAGTGAAGAAACAGATTAACAGAGTATCCAAAAGTTACTTACTACAGGACAGACCCAACAAGGAAAATAACAGAACATCACCGGCATTCACCTACAGCCCCCAGCTAAAATATTCCAGAACATCAGCAAGGATCTACAACCGATCCTGGAAGATGATCCCTTACTCTCACAGACAACAGGGTTAACTCAGTGATTCTTTTCTTTCTGATGTTAGACAAAATCCAAGAGGCCATATGAATAGCAAGCACAATGTAGATTGTATGGCTATTGACTAGTATGTGTTATATGTTGTTTAGCACCAACAATTATTTAAGAGAGACTCTACACCTTTCATTACACTTTTCATATACTTATTCTATTTTATGGTTAGCTTATATTACTAGTGTTACTTGTATTTCACAACAAAGGATACTGCTTGCTATGCTTGTTCCGCACCACAGTAACACGGTCACTCGGATCCAAAAGATTTTTTGCTGCATTGTGTAGGAAAGGATAGTCTGAACCAGTATGTAAATGGCTCCTATTCCAAATGTTATACAGGCTCCAATTACATGCATATAAACCAGAGGATATTTCTAGGGGGAAAGATAGATATAAATAAAATATAACATATACATAACATTCACAGAACACAATTTAGCTTAATACAGTGCTGATACCTCCACTTGTACTGAAACTCAGACAATTTATTTCTATAAAAGCTCTGCTTGTAGTTACCATCACCACTAACGGTTGTGTCCTCCTTACATCTCTCAACTCTCAGTGCTGGGACTGTGTCAGTACTTGAATGGGAGACCTTCAAAAGAAATCTACATATGGTTCACACTAATTCAGCAGCTGCCAGCTGTCAATACATGTTGTCATGGAGCAACTGGCTCCTGGAGTGCAGGCTTTCAGATGAAACATAAAACTAAAATCTTGGCCACTTGCAGTAGTTACTGTGACACTTCACTCAAGAGCAGAGACTTTAGTGAACTGGCCAGAACAGCAAGAATTTTAGCGCAGTATCTAGGACTATGTTAACAGACCTGAGAATGACAACATGACCTTTTTATTTAAAAAAAAAAAACCCCACCCAAACCCCTTCTTTTTAGTTACCTGGGAGGGCCTTATGACCATGGAAGAATAAAAGCTTTTACTGAGCTCTCATTGGCTACATACTACTTATAATAGTGTTATTGCTACTCTCAAGCCTCCTAAAGAGCACATTATTTGAGTTGGCAGCACTCAGTGTTCTCAATTAAATTTGTTGAGTTGTCAATCGCTTTCAAGCTCTCTCCACAGGCTCTGCAGTGCTGAAAGCTCTGGAAGTGACCTCACAAGGAAGAAACCAGAAGGGAACACCATCTACTGGAAGCCATGGGATGCGTAGTCCTAGGGATGGGGGTTCCACGGCCACCGCCCCCCAAAAGAAAACGATGAGTGGTGGTGGTCAGGGACTCCCTCCTAAGAGGGACTGAGCCATCCCTCTGCCGTCCGGACCTGGAATCTCGAGAGGTGTGCTGCTTCCCGGGAGCTCGCATTCATGATGTCATTGAGAGGCTTACCAAGCTGATCAAACCTTCGGATCGCTACCCCTTCCTGCTTCTCCACGTGGGAACTAATGATATGGCCAAGAATGACCTTGAGCATGTTACTGCGGATTATGTAGCGCTGGGAAGAAGGATCCAAGAATTCGGCGCGCAAGTGGTATTCTCGTCCATCCTCCCTGTTGAAGGAAAAGGACTGGGCAGGGATTGTTGAATTGAGGACGTAAATGCGTGGTTGCGCAGATGGTGTCGCAGAGAGGGCTTTGGTTTCTTCGGCCATGGGACTCTGTTCCGGGCACAAGGATTGTTAGGAAGAGATGGGATCCACCTAACGAAGAGAGGAAGGAGCGTCTTCGCGGGCAGGCTTGCAAACCTAGTGAGGAGGGCTTTAAACTAGGTTCATCAGGGGACGGTGACCAAAACCCTGAGGGGAGTGAGAAAGGAAGACCCATGTTTCGAATGGAGAAGATAGGACAATCAAGTGGTTACCTGAAGTGTTTGTACACTAATGCGAGAAGCCTGGGCAACAAACAGGAAGAACTGGAGGCTCTGGCCCAGACCAAGAAATATGATTTAATTGGGATAACAGAGACTTGGTGGGATGACTCGCATGACTGGAGCGCTGTCATGGAAGGGTATAGACTGTTCAGGAACAACAGGCAGGGGAGAAAAGGAGGAGGAGTTGCACTATATGTAAGAGAGCACTACGATTGCTCTGAACTCCAGTATAAAGAGGGAGAAAACCCATAGACTTTCAACAGGTTTAAGTTTAAAGGAGCAAACAACAGCAGTGATGTTGTGGTTGGTGTCTGCTACTGGCCACCGAAACAGGTGGATGAAGTAGATGAGGCTTTCTTCGGACAACTGAGTGAAGCTTCCAGATCGCAGGCCCTGGTTCTCGTGGGGGACTTTAATCACCCTGACATCTGTTGGGAAACCAATATGGCAGTACACAGGCAATCCAGGAAGTTTTTGGAGAATGTTGGGGATAACTTCTTGACACAAGCTGAAGGATACAACGGGCCGTGCGCAGCTTGACCTTCTGCTCACAAACAAGGAGGAACTAATAGGGGAAGTGGAGGTGGGTGACAACCTGGGAAGCAGTGATCATGAGATGGTAGATTTCAGGATCCTGAC